CCCCAAAACCCCAAAACCCCAAAACCCCATTAATACAAAATTTTATTGATGATACTTATTACTCCGATTGTCTTAGCACACCTTTTAGGTAGCTATCCATGCTCTTCATATTTTCCTTCAGAGACTTGATGTATCTCCAATTTGATTGCATTTCATTTGACGCTTCTCCGAGGGATTGCTCAAGGCTACCCAAGTAGTTCTTGAAGGACATGAGGGTCTCGGCTTTAGAAACCACTGTGATTATGTCTCCCAAGGAATATCAGAACTCTTTGGCCTCTTCTAGGTCATTCTCATCGAATGGAGTCCCATTGTCTTTGTTGATTAGCTTCAAGGCATCTAAAGCGCTGTAAGAGCATGAACAAATCCTACCTAAGCAGTTAGAGCTGATCGAGCTCTTGCTTGATTTGTACACTGGAACTGAGAGAATAGACACTTGACTTGCTGGCTGATTAAACTTATAGTATTTTCCCTTTGGATCGTCTAACTCAGCAAGGAACTTATTTAGTATCATTAGCCTCGTTCTCTACGATGGGGATTCCATCTTTTGCAACAGAATTGGCAATTCCTTTGTCGCTTTCATAGCTGATGATCTTCTGTTCATGATTCTTTCCATCCCTGACTACCTTGAACAGTTGATTTTTGTTGTGATCTCAGATTCAGAAGTTGATCCTATTTACACTGAAATACTGACACAGAGGGCCCTCAATGTACTCCTGAAGCCTCCAGATTTTGTCAAAGCTGATCAACTTTGAGAAGTTGTAGTAAATATTCCCACTTTTGGTCCTGAGCTCTTCTATCTTCATCTTCTTCTGGAGTTTTTGGAGGAAGATCGAGAAGATGCATGAGCAAGCGTAGGCCTTAAAACTCTCATCTTCTGAGTCGCCCTTCGCTTCGTGAAGATCGTTACAGAACATCAAAACTCCAGAGGTGCTCTTCAGGATGTTAAGCATTGGAACTAGCACATCTCAGCAGGTTTGAAATGGGAGTATCTCTTCAACATCTTGCAATGAGGCTTTAGCATATCTGCTTAGTATAAGGTGATCTGCTGATCTTTCAGGGTCTTATCGACAAAGAGATATCATTCCTGTATATAAACATGGTAGTTTACCTTCTCTGTGAGGTGAAGGTCGATTCAACTCTGGTCGTTCATCTGCTTAAGCTTGTCATTACTCATTTCATAACGGAGGAAGTACAGTTTGCTATAATTTAAGAATTTGCACACTCTTGAAACAAGATATTTCATACAGTCGCTTGGTTTCTTAGTAAAAACTGTTTTAGCCAAACATTGAGGCATTGAGACCCAAATATCCTGATCGGACCGAGGGAGAGTCAAGATCTTAGAAAGGTAACCCCGCACTCCCTTCGTGGTAAGATCCTGCTTAAGTATCTCATTAATGTTCTGGTCCCTATGGTGATATTTAAAATCATACCTGAAAGAATTCCGATATTGTGCTTCTTCTGGAATCTAAGAGAGTAAGACCTCGTCCTCTTGTTTCCAGATAAATTATCCAATTTTTTCTGTTTAGGAGTGGCAAAATTGGGCTTGAGTAAAATATTGCTAGACTCTGTCTTTCTCCTTGGTGTTGTTAAGAGCAAATAGTGACTTGAAAGTGTCCTTCCAGATGAAAAGCTTCAGCTGAAGGAATCCCGATTAAATTTCACTGTCATTTTGTAAACAAAAATCAACTTAGTTAGTTTTTGTAGTTCATTTTATATTTGTCTTAAATATTAGATACCCTTTAATATCAAACCCTTTTAAACTACCCGGGGTTTTGGGGTTTTGGGGTTTTGGGG